GCCCCACATAGGGAATGCCCATATGGGGAAACCCCTATGGGGATTCCCCGCGTAAGGAACCCTAATCTGGGAAATCCCCAGATGGGGATCCCTCATAAGGGGGGTCCTCGTATGGGAATACCCCGTACGGTGCGTCGCATATACGGAATCTTCGCGTGGGAAAACCCCATACAAGGAATCCCTATATGGGGTCTCCTCATGTTGGGGGATCACCATGTTAGGAATCACCATTTCAAGAACCTCCATGTGAGGAATCCCCATGTAGGGAATCGCTTATTTGAGGATTTCCTATATTAGAACTCCGTATATTAAGGCCCCCATACATGGGGTTCCTTGTATGGGGATTCCTTGCATGGGGACTCTCTATATGAAAGGGGTTTCCAACATTGGGATTCCGTACATGGCGATTTCCCGTATGGGTATTCCCCATATGGCGATTCCCTATGTTGGGTTTCCAAATGGGGATTGCCCATGCGGGAACTCGCCATGGCAGCCCCCGGAACTCTCACAACTCCCGTAGTCCTGACAGCCGCTGCCCCTTGACTCAAACGCAAAGCGCTGGCGCGGACAGGAACCGTATTCTTTTCAAACGACGGGGGCCAGCGCAGCGCGCCCTTACCCCTTGACTCAATCGCAAATCGCGCGCGCGGACAGGGACCGTTTTTTCTCCAAATGACGGGGGCCAGCGCAGCGCGCCCGTGCCGCTCCACTCAAACGCAAAGCGCGTGCGCGGGCAGGATTCTTTTCCAAATGAACGGGGGCCGCAATGACGCGACTCGACGGCGTGGCGCTGAGCTCGACTGGCAGCCCGCTCCGCGCAGACCCGCTGCCCACGCGCCCCGCCGCCCCCGCGCCCCGAACAAACACCACAGGCCCAAGAGCTTCGTCAGATGTCGCCCTGGACCCCGCGACCGCCGCGCGTGCCTATCGGGGCAGTCGCCGCCAGCGCCGCTACCAACGCAAGGATTCTCGCCCAAGCGGCCCTCGCCCACGGGGCCCTCGCCCACGCTGCAACGAAGAATTGAGCCTGGAGCCAAAATGGCAACGAGCCAAAATGGCGACGAGGGAGGAGGAGGAGAGGAGGAGGAGGGGAAGGAGGCGGAGGAGGAGGAGGGAGAAGCGCGGGTGCGGGACAAGAGAAACCCAAACACGGAGAAACTTGCCTGCAAAACCTCCTCCTGCTCCTGCTGTCGAACAACGGCGGCCGCAACTGCAGCGGCGATGGCGCCCCGCCGGACCAGTGCTGGCACGAAGCGCGCGCCTGTCGCCATCTCCTCGTCCTTCTCCGCCTCCTCGTCCTCCTCCCCCTCCGCCTCCTCCTCAGGGGTCCTGGTGTTTCCTGGTCCCTCCTGGGCTCAGGGGTCCTGGTGCTTCCTGGTCCCTCCTGGTCCCTCCTGGTCCCTCCTGGTCCCTCCTGGTCCCTCCTAGTCCCTCCTGGTCCCTCCTGGTCCCTCCTGGTCTCTCCTGGTTCCTTCTGGTCCCTCCTGGTCCCTCCTGGTCCCTCCTGGTCCCTCCTGGGCTCAGGGGTCCTGGTCCCTCCTGGCCCCTCCTGGCCCCTGACCCACAACCCAGGCACTTATGTTATCGTATGTTTTGGGTTATGTTTGCGTTGGCACTTCTTCTGTTTTGTACTACTTGTTTTGTTTTTTTTTCGGCTCTCTGCCCTGCCGGACAGCTGAGTACCCAGTGTGCGGCTGATGACACAGAGCGGTCGGCGCACGGCTCGCGCAGCTGGCACGGTACGTGTAAAGCCTGGGTAACTGAAGTTCCTAAAGCCTGGTAGCAGCGCGCACCTGAAGTTCCTCGCGGTAACTTCAGGTCTGGGGCGCCCGCAGCAACTCACTCGTCAGGGACGGGAATGCGATCTCTCGTGCTCTTGTCCTCTCTGTTCCAGAACACGATGGCCTCCCGGTACCCGGCCTTCCTGCTCTTCACCCAATCCTCGCCAATGCCGAGGCCCCTCACGCCGAGCCTCTTGATCTTGGCCTCCTTGTCGGTCGTCTTGTAGTGGGCGCTCCACGCCCTGACAGAGGGGTGCCATGTGATTTTGCCCGCGATCGCTGGGCACCCGTCCGAAGCGATCTGGAATGATGGCTTGGACCGCGAATCCGCCCTCAGCCGGATCGTCGCGCTGTCCTCGCGCATCTTTGTCTGGATGTATTTGATCACGGCCATGATGGACGTCTCCGTCGCCTCGATCAAGTACGGCTTCTCCCGCGCCCTCACGAAAAGGTCTGTGTCGCCCAGCTGCACGGTCACGGCGTCCACGTTTGAAGGCGTGCCGCGCCGCCGAGGCCTGTTATCCTCCGCGCCGTCCTCCTCGTCGAAGCCCACGGCCTGCGCGGAAGCCTGCAACTGAGCCCTCGGGTCCGTCTTCGAGAAGATCCCCTCCTTGAGCACGCCTCTGAGGTTGCTGATCGCGTACTGGAAACCACGGGACCAGTGAGTCTGGCCGCGAGACTCATCGCAGGCCCGCCGCAGCCATGAACTATTCTCGGACAGCGGGAAGAAGTGGCGGTCGCCCCGTTTGACCAATGGGCGCACTACGCAAGGTGTCTTTATCTTCGGGCCCCACACGGCCAAGCGACTCACCACCTGCACCCCCGCCGGAACCCCACCGCTTGAGCCCCACCGCTTGAGCGTCCGGCCGCGCGGCTTCGGCGCTGCCTTCTTCAAGTGCTTCTTGGCGACTCCGCGCTGGCGGCCGCCGCGAGAGGGAGCGCCGGCGCTCGCTGCCATCGCTGAGACAAGCGCCGGCGCCGGTGCCTCTGGCGGCTGCTCCTCGCCCGGGTGGTCATCGGCTGCATCCGTCAGCGCCTGCCGTTCCAAGTCCTGCAGCGCCGCCTGCTCCGCTTCTTGGGCCCCGCCCAGCAGTGCCGGCCCCTCCGCGTCCAGCTCCTCGTCGGAAACGAGCCACGGATCACCCATTCCGCTGGAGGAGGCCGGTGCTCGCGCCTGCGGGGCGACGCGGCGTGGCGGCGGAGCCCGGGTCGGGCGAAAGGGGGGGATAGCAAAGGGGGGGTTTGAGAATCAGCTCACGTAGCTGATTTTCCCGGCGCCTCCCGGCGCCGGAGGCGGCTATGTATCGAGGAATGGGCCCCTCGGTGAGGCCGAAACCAGCTGCATGCAGCAAATTGCGTAACCCCCCCTTTCCCAATCCCACCCTTTCGCCCGGCCCGAGGCTGGCGCTCTGCTGCTCGCCTCCTCGGGGGCCGCCGGGCCCTTGAGCCGCGACGGCGAGAATGATGATGGCAATGCTTATGATGATGGCGATGGTGATGACGGTTCTGGTGTTCATGGCGGCGGTCAGTGCTCTGGCAGTGTCGCAGCGAGGAAGTTCGAGTCGTCGTTGCGCGGGCACAACGACGACGTGCTCGAGGGGTCGGCCCCGGGGCCGGTGGCTTGCCTGAGGGCGCTGACCCACAACCCAAGCCTCAGGTCTCTGACCCGCAACACAGGCATCCGAAGTGTCCATGACACACAACCCAGGCAAGGCGGCGAGCCTCAGACGACATGCGTCCGAAGTGTGTCTGACCCACAACACAGGCATCCGAAGTGTGTATGACCCACAGCCCAGGCATCCGAAGTGTGTATGACCCACAGCCCAGGCATCCGAGACGTCTCATAACCACAACCCAGGCACTTGTGCATGCATATTTTGTGCTGTTTTTTTTTTTGTTTTGGTGTTGCTTGTTATGTCATTCGGCCATTGGGGATCCTGGGGGGTGGCGCTTGGGACCACACGAGGATCCGCCACTTACGCCACCCCCAGGATGCCCCAGTCCACGTCGCGAGATGTTGTTCCCTGACGCACAACCCAGGCATCAAGGGTGTCCCTCACACGCCACCCAGGCACGGTGGCGAGCCCGAGGTCCCTAACGCACAACCCTGGCGTCAGAGAAGTGTCATAACCACAGCCCAAGCACTTGTGTTTTCATATTTCTTGGGCGCTATTTTGTCCTCGTTGTTATGTCATCAGGTCCCTGACGCACAACCCGGGCACCCGAGATGTCTCTGACACACAACCCAAGCACAGCGGCCAGCCTGAGGTCTGTGACGCACAACCCAAGCATCCGATAATGCTCATAACCACAACCCAAGCACTTCTGTTTCCATGTCTTTTTGGATATTTGTTGTTGTCATTTGTTATGTCGTGAAGTCCCTGACGCACAACACAGGCATCCGGTGTGTCTCTAACGCACAACCCAAGCAAGGTGGCGAGCCAGAGGTCCCTAACGCACAACCCTGGCACCCTCGAGACCTCCAAACCACAACCCAGGCACGTGTGTTTATATATATGTTTTGTTTTTTTTTGTTATCATGTGTTATGTCATTAAGTCCCTGACGAACAACCCAGGCATCCGATATGTCTCTGACCCACAACCCAGGCACGGTGTCGACCCTTCTGGGGCTCCTTGGGGGTGGCGCTTGGCCTGAGGGCGCTGACCCACAACCCAAGTCCCAGGTCTCTGACCCACAACACAGGCATCCGAAGTGTCTGGGAGACACAACCCAGGCAAGGTGGCGATCCTCAGACGACATGCGTCCGAAGTGTGTCTGACCCACAACCCAGGCATCCGAAGTGTGTGCGACCCACAACCCAGGCATCCGACAAGTGTCAGGACCACAACCAGGGCACTTCAGTTTTGATATTGTCTTGTTCTTTTGGTGCTGCCGGACAGCTCCGTACCCAATGCGCGGCGGCACATCGACGACGTGCTCGGGAGGTCGGCCCCAGAGCCGTTGGCTAGCCTGAGGGCTCTGGCACAAAACCGAAGCCTGAAGTCTCTGACCCACAACCGACGCATCCGCAGTGTCTGTGACCCACAACCCAGGCACTTATGTTTTCATATGTTTCTCTTCTCTTTCGTTGTGTTTGTTGTTTCGTTGTGGTGTCATTATTCTGTTTTGTTGTTTCTTCTTTTTTCGGCCGCCTACCCTGCCGGACAGCTCAGTGCCCAATGTGCGGACATTCGGGCGGCGAGCTGCAAGCACTAGCACTACCCCGCAGTGACTGCGGCAGGGATGGCAGGCGGCCACTCGTGCACGCCCTCTGGGTACGCCTCTGGCCCAAGCCACGTGCTAAGCAAAATGATCGCGTACACGAACGCTTTCGGAGCCACCATGCCGCACGTCTCCAGCAGGGCGGGAGGCTGCCACCGTCTGCGGAACAGGTCCGCGCCGCCAGGGGCGCACTGGTTGATGAGCCGGTGCAGGGCGGCGGCGGCGTCCGCCGCTCCTCCCCGGCCGCCCTCCGTCGCCCAGGCCTGGCCGAAGAGAGTCCACTCGAACTCCCTCGTGGTGGACGGTTTCCCCCGGGGCCGTAGGCGACTTAGGAGGCTCCCCAGGGTTGGTTTTAAAGCTCGGGCCCGACAACGGGCCCCTGAGGCCAAACTCGAAGAAAAACCTTCGAGTTTAGGAGGTCCACGAAAAACTCCACGAAGAAACGGCGAAAAGTCCAGGAGGAGGAGGAGGAGGACGGGGTCGCCGAAGCCCTTCCGAGAAACCGTCCAAACCTCGTGCACAACACGCGTGTCCGGGCGCCGCGGGGACCCACCAGCGCGCCCATGGAGGCCGCGAGGCGCGGAGCTGTCAGCGTCTTGTCGTCGACCCACAACTCCGGCACGCGGATCGTGCGCTCCACCCGCGAGGAGCCCACCAGCCTGCGAACCCTGTCCTGCAACGCCGTCGCCTCCGGGGGGGGCAGGCGGCGCCTCCACGCCACCAAGCGCTCGGCGAGCATCACGGGGTAGTCCACCTGCAACCACCGCTCCTTCGCGCGACGGGTCGCCTCCAGAGCCAGCCGCTCATTGGCCTCCCTCCGTGCGGCGGCGGCCTTGTCCAAAGCCGCCATCCGGGCCTCGGTGGCTTGCCGTTTCGCGTCCACGACGCGAACCTCCTCGCGCCGCTCGGCCGCCTGTCTCTCCCGCTCGGCCTCCCGCGCGGCCTGCCGGTCCGCCTCGCGCAGCCGCTGCGCCTCCTTGGCGGCCTGCCGGAGCCGCTGCGCCTCTGGGGCATCGTACGTCCGCCTCTTCTTGTGGCTCCGCTGGAGCTCGGCTCTGCAGCTCTTCAAGAACCGATCGTTCCGCGTCTGCTGCGCCACGACCATCACGTGGTTCAGGGCGGACAGGTACGCGGCCTCGGTGCACACGCCGCCGTGGTCTCCTGCCAAGTCGCCGGGGCCTTCCTCGGGCGCTCCTCCCGACTCTGCACCGCCGCTGTCCCTCTCGGCGCCGCCAAGCTGGGCGCCGCCGTCTCCTGCCAGGCCGGCAGGGCCTGCCTCTGGGGCCTCTCCCGGCAAAGCGCCGCCGCCGCCAGGCCCGGCGCCCTCCGTCAGCGAGCCGCCATCGTTCAGCCAGTCGTCGTCCGCGTCGGAGGCGCCAGGCGCTGGGGCGCCCCTGGCAGCGCGGCAAGGCGCGGCGAGCGGCGCCGAGCCGCCAGCGGCGCCACCGGGTGCCGCGCCTGATGGCGCCGCGCCGCTCCCCGCCGAGGCGTTCGCGGGAGTGCTCGGCGGCGCCGCGCCGCTGGGCGACGGCGCCGCAGCAGCCGCCGCACCTCCGCCTGCCGCTGGGGCGCCCCTGGCAGCGCGGCAAGGCGCGGCGAGCGGCGCCGAGCCGCAAGCGGCGCCCCCGGGAGCCGCGCCTGACGGCGCCGCGCCGCTCCCCGCCGAGCCGCTGCAGGGAGCGCCCGGCGGCGCCGCGCCGCTCTGCGATGGCGCCGCAGGAGCCGCCGCGCCTCCGCCTGGGCGACCACGACGTTGCCCAAGGTCCCGGGGCCGTTTTCGAAGGTCCCGGGGCGGTTTTCGAAGGTCCCGGGGCCCGAAGGAGGACGTGGGCGAACGACGGCGAGGACGAACACGATGCCTCCTTCGCCAGGGTCGTCCCCGCCGTCGTCGTCCTCCTCCTCCTCGTCCGGGACGACCTCCCAGTTCGCGCCCTCGAGCCCCTCCTCGGCGCACGGGTGTGGCTTGTGGTGCTCTATCAGCAGGTCAACGTCGGCCCACGAGGACAGCGTGCCAGCGGACCACATCTCATCCACCGTCTGCTGCGCGTGGCGCCAGAGTGCCGGCCCGCCCAGCGCCTCCCAGAAGGGCCGGAGGTCGACGAAGACGTCCTCAGGCACAGCATCGCCTCCCAGGAGCGGCCCGATCTCGATCTGCTCCATCTGCTCCATGAGGCGCTGTACCAGGGCGTGGAAATGTGTGTCATTGATTTGCTCCAGCCCAGTCACGCCGCCGCCATGGTACAACACCACGTGGCCCATGTCCCTGATTGCCTGCTGCACCTCTGCCGTGAGGTGGGCCGAGTACCAGTCGAGCAGGATGACTATTGAATCCTCCGGCTTTGCAGCAGGCTGCAAAGCAAAGCCTAAGGCGTCCATCACGTCGTCTGCTCGGTAGCTGCCCTTCTCCTGAAACTGCAAGTGCATCCAGGGCGGGACCTGCAGCTCCTGCCGCAGGCGTGCCCCGCTCTGAGCCTTGAAGAGCACTGCCACAGGCGGGACCGCGCCGTCCAGAGGCTGCCAAGACTGCGCGCACGTCAGGATAGTGTACCTGTCTCTGGTGGCTGCATGGTTCTCCTTGGCGGCCACTCGACGAGACCCTCTACGGGCGTACATCGGTCTGCGGCCAGCGTTGTTCATCCAACTGGGCTTCTGGTCTGCCGAGAACCATCGCATCGCCGTCCCTGGGTGGCACCGCGACCAGTGGTGGCGCAGCCGAAAGATGTTCCCGAACATGCACCTCACGCGGTCCAGCGCCTTCGCGTAGCTGACCTGGAAGTGCGTGGTGCCCTGGCGGATGCTGATGCCATGCTCCTTGCGCCACAAGTACAGCCATCCCTTGTGGATCTTGGGCAAGTCCTCCTCTCGCTGGCCCTGCTGCAGCAGCTGGCTTCTGAGCCACACTGCGTGCTCAAGCATGAGCGACGAGTCACCGCGCGACGTCAAGGATTCGATTTCGCCAACAAACCATTGGAGCAGCTCGAACCCAATCAACGAGGACATGCGCTGGAGCTGGCTGCGTTCCTGCGGGTCGTCCGACCGCCGCCTCCTCTGCTGCCGGTCCTCCGCGCCCGCCCCTGCTGGGGTCAGGCGCCCAGCCTTGCTCTTGCCGGCCCACTCCGCGTAGACCCGCTTCAGCCGGCACGCCACGGCATTGGAGGGCGTCAGGTTGAACATGTTGGTGGCGAGGGCACCCCACGGCATGCGAGTGTAGTGGATGCCAGCTCCTGCTTGCTCCTCGACCCAAGCGCCAATGCGCGCGCCCATCTCCAGCCTCGTGCTGATCGGCAACGCGGACGACCGCCCTTGCCGCCCAGCTCGTCGCCGAGCCCGAGGCTCGGGCGCAGCCTGCTCCAGACTGCCGCGAAACAGGGCGGCCTGATCGTTAAAGGTTCAACGTTTGGCGCTTGCCACAACGGCGAACCCTTCAAACTGCAATGATTCACCCTCGTGACAACGGCCAATCGTTGAACCTTAAACTTTCGGGCAACCTTGCGTCGAGCACGTCTTCGTCGTCTCCGTCCTCGTCGTCGTCGTCGTCGTCGTCGTCGCCGTCGTCGGCGACTCCAAAGGAGACGACGACGTCGCCAACGACGACGACGACGACGGAAACGACGAGGCCGAGGACGAGGACGACGACGACGACGACGGCGCCTGCGCCGCCAGCGCGGCCAAGTAAGCCATGCCAGCGCGGCGCTGCGAAGCGCCTCTGTCGGCGCGGGAGGCGGAGGCGCCGCGGGGCAGCCCCTCGGCGGCCGCCGCCGGAGGCGCCGCGGGGCATCCGCTCGGCGGCCGCCGCCGGAGGCGCCGCGGGGCAGCCGCCGCTGGAGGCGCCGCGGGGCGACCCGCCGCTGGAGGCGCCGCGGGGCGAGCCGCTTGGCAGCTAAGCCGAAAAAAGGCTACAAATGTACTGGCGTTGACGCAGGCCCCACAACCCAGGCATCCGACGTGTGTATGACCCACAACCCAGGCATCCGAAATGTGTGTGACCCACAACCCAGGCAATGTGGCGACCCTCAGGCCACATGCATCCGCTGTGTGTCTGACCCACAACCCAGGCATCCGAAGTGTGTATGGCCCACAGCCCAGGCATCCGAAACGTCTCATAACCACAACTCAGGCACTTGTGTTTCCATATTTTGTGTTGCTCTTTTTGTTGTTGTTGCTTGTTATGTCATTCCGCCATTGGGGTTCCTGGGGGGTGGCGCTTGGGACCACACGAGGATCCGCCACTTACGCCACCCCCAGGATGCCCCAGTCCTCGTCGCGGCGCCGACGGGGTGGCGCTCGGGACCACACGAGGATCCGCCACTTACGCCACCCTCGGCGCCGCTTTTGGGGTTCCTTGGGGGTGGCGCTTGGGACCACGCGAGGATCGGCCACTTACGCGCAAACCAGGCGTCCGAGAAATGTCATAACCACAACTCAAGCACTTGTGTTTGCATATTTTTTGGGCGCTGTTTTGTCGTCATTGTTATGTCATTAGGTCCCTGACGCACAACCCGGGCATCCGAGATGTCTCTGACACACAGCCCAGGCACTTACGGCATGCCTGAGGTCTGTGACGCACAACCCAGGCATCATAAATGTCCCTAACACGCCACCCAGGGGCGCTGGCGAACCTGAGGTCCCCAACGCACAACCCAGGCGGCCGAGAAATGTCATAACCACAACCCAAGCACTTGTGTTTTCATATTTTTTGGGGCGCTACTTTGTCGTCATTGTTATGTCAGTAGGTCCCTGACACACAACCTGGGCATCCGAAGTGTTTCTGACACACAACCCAGGCACGGCGGCAAGCCTGAGGTCCGCGACGCGCAACCCAGGCATCCGAAGTGTGTATGACCCACAGCCCAGGCATCCGATACGTCTCATAACCACAACCCAGGCACTTGTGTTTCCATATGTTGTGGTGCTCTTTTTTTTGTTGCTTGTTATGCCTTTAGGCCATTGGGACTCCTGGGGGGTGGCGCTTGGGACCACACGAGGATCCGCCACTTACGCCACCCCCAGGATGCCCCAGTCCTCGTCGCGAGATGTGGTTCCCCGACGCACAACCCAGGCATCAAGGGTGTCCCTCACACGCCACCCAGGCACGGTGGCGAGCCTGAGGTCCCTAACGCACAACCCAGGCGTCCGAGAAGTGTCATAACCACAACCAAAGCACCTGTGTTTTCCTTTTTTTTTTTTGGCGCTATTTTGCCATCGTTATTATGTGAGTAGGTCCCTGACGCACAACCTGGGCATCCGAGGTGTCTCTGACACGCGACCCAGGCACGGCGGCAAGCCTCAGGTCCGTGACGCACAACCCAGGCATCCGAAGTGTGTATGACCCACAGCCCAGGCATCCGATACGTCTCATAACCACAACCCAGGCACTTGTGTTTTCATATTTTGTGTTGCTCTTTTTGTTGTTGTTGTTTGTTATGCCTTTAGGCCATTGGGGCTCCTGGGGTGTGGCGCTTGGGGCCACACGAGGATCCACCACTCACGCCACCCCCAGGATGCCCCAGTCCTCGTCGCGAGCTGCAGTTCCCTGACGCACAACCCAGGCATCAAGGGGGCCCCTCACACGCCACCCAGGCACGGTGGCGAGCCTGAGGTCCCTAACGCACAACCCCGGCGTCCGAGAAGTGTCATAACCACAACCAAAGCACTTGTGTTTTCATATTTTTGGGGCGCTATTTTGTCGTCGTTGTTATGTCATTAGGTCCCTGACGCACAACCTGGGCGCCCGAGATGTCTCTGACACACAACCCAGGCACGGCGGCAAGCCTGAGGTCTGCGACGCACAACCCAGGCATCCGAGAATTCTCAGAACCACAACCCAGGCACTTGTGTTTCCATGTCTTTTGTGATATTTGTTGTTTTCATGTGTAATGTCATTAAGTCCCTGAGGCACAACAAAGGCATCCGGTATGTCGGCAACACACAACCCAAGCACGGTGGCGAGCCAGAGGTCCCTAACGCACAACCCTGGCATCCGAGATATCCCAGAACCACAACCCAGGCACTTGTGTTTATATATGTTTTGTTCTTCGTTGTTGTCATGTGTTATGTCATTAAGTCCCTGGCGATCAACCCAGGCATCCGATATGTCTCTGACCCACAACCCAGGCACGGTGTCGACCCTGAGGTCCCTGACGTGCAACCCAGGCATCCGAGATGTCTCTGACCCACAACCGAGGCATGGTGGCGAGCCTGAGATCCGAACTCGCCGCCCAAGCATCCGAAATGCCTCCGACCCACAACCCAAGCCGGTTTGCGGTCTGATCCCTCCTGGGCTCAGGGGTCCTGGTGCCTCCTGGTCCCTCCTGGTTCCTCCTGGTCTCTCTTGGTCCCTCCTGGTCCCTCCTGGGCTCAGGGGTCCTGGTCCCTCCTGGTCTCTCCTGGTCCCTCCTGGTCCCTCCTAGTCCCTCCTGGTCCCTCCTGGTCCCTCCTGGTCTCTCCTGGTCCCTCCTGGTCCCTCCTGGTCCCGCCTGGTCCCTCCTGGTCCCTCCTGGGCTCAGGGGTCCTGGTCCCTCCTGGTCCCTCCAGGTCCCTCCCGGTCCCTCCTCGCCCCTCCTGGTCCCTCCTAGTTCCTCCTGGCCCCTCCTGGTCCATCCTGGTCTCTCCTGGTCCCTCCTGGTCCGTCCTGGTCCGTCCTGGTCCCTCCTGGTCCCTCCTGGTCTCAGGGGCCCTGGCCCCTCGTGGCCCCTCCTGGTCCCTGATCCACAACCCAGGCAATTATGTTTACATTTTTGTTTGGTTCTGTTGGCGTTGGCACTTCTTCTGTTTTGGAATTCTTTTTTTTTTTTTTGTTCGGCCGTCTGCCCTGCCGGACAGCTGAGTGCCCAGTGTGCGGCTGACGACACAGAGCGGTCGGCGCACTTCACATGTTCTGGATGGCAGCAGGCTTGGCGACGAAGACTGCCCCGCGCATCACCGCCTTCACGTTCACGAACGCGGGCACCAGGATCGTCACCGTTGGGGCTTTATCTTTCCCACGCTGCTTGCGCCCATCCTGCTTGAACTCGCAGGAGATCTCTTGCGTCAGGCACCTCGCCTCCAAGTTCCCCACCGTGGTGTCGGCCACCGTCGCCTCCAAGACCGCCCAGAAGGGCGACACCCCTAGGGCCTTGCCTGGCTTGAACTGGGCGAGGGGGCTCTGGATGATGTATTTCGATAGGTCGTCGCAGATGTCGTAGGCTCCGATTTCTGTCGTTACCAAGTAGGGGTGCTGCGGATGATGCGATTTTGGCCTCCTCATCTTGGCCCCCTCCGAGAAGTCGTGCACAGGTCCGTGCGGAATCAACACCACCTCGCCGACTGCGAAATCTTTCGCGGCCCTCGCCTGAAACACACACGGGTTTGAGGACTCCATGCTGTGGACCGTGATATTGGCAGCGCACCCGCTGTGTTTGACCTGCAGCTGCTGCAGGGCCGTCTGCATCATCAACTTGAAGACCGCGTCCTGGCTGGGCATCGCGGCGGCGGGCATCACCTGGAGGCGCGACGCGTCGATCTCGTACGGCTGGATGATGGCAGGCTCCGTTGGCTTCTGGCCGCTGTTGTCACCAGGCGGCGCCTGCGCGGCGCCCAGGGCGCCAGCCGGCTCCTGCGCGGCAGGCGACGCTCCGTGGGTCGAGGCGTCGGCGACGCCTGGGGCAGGCGGCGCGCCGTCGAGCGGCGCGGGGAGCTTCTTCTCGTCGGCGGCGAGCTGGGGGGGAGGGAGCTCGAGGGAGGGAGCTGGAGGGAGGGAGCTGGAAGGTGAGTGCTGGAGGGCGGGGGCCGGAAGGCGAGAGCTGGAGGGAGGGAGCTGGGGGGCGGGTGCTGGAGGGCGGGAGCTGGCTGGTGGGAGCTTGGCGGCGGGAGCGGGGGAGAGGGGGCTGGGAGGAGGGAGCTAGGGGGAGGGAGCTGGAAGGAGGGAGCGGGGGGAGAGAGCTGGGGGGAGGGAGCTGGGGGAGGGAGCTGGGGGGCGGGGGCCGGAGGGTGGGGGCTGGAGGGAGGGAGCTGGGGGGCGTGTGTGCTGGAGGGCGGGAGCTGGCGGGTGGGAGCTGGGCGGCGGGAGCTGGGGAAAGGGAGCTTGGAGGAAGGAGCTGGGGAGAGGGAGCCGGAAGGAGGGAGCGGAGGGAGAGAGCTGGGAGGAAGGAGCTGAGGGAGCTGGAGGGAGGGGCCCGGAGGGGCGGAGCTGGCGGGTGGGAGCGCGAGGGCGGGGGCTGGAGGGAGGGGGCCGGGGGGAGAGAGCTGGAAGGAGGGAGCTGGGGCGCGGGTGCTGAAGAGCGGGAGCTTGAGGGGGGACTCTGGCCAGAGGAGGTGGAGGAAAGCCTCCTCGACCTCCTCGAAGGCCTCCAGGGCGTCTGCCTTTCTCTTCGCGGTGGTCGGAGGAGAGCAAATGGAGACAGCCGCGGATAGAGAAAACCGCTCGGAACCCGAGCGAATCGGCCGCCGAACCTCCTCCGAGGACCGCGTGCTCAGTTTTTCCGTGCCGCGCCCAGCCGTGGCGACGAGGCCTCCCCGAGGAAAAAAAAACCTTGTCTCAGAAAGAAAACCGCCCGGAACCCGAACAAGTCGGCCGCCGAACCTCCTCCGAGGACCACGTGCTCAGTTTTTCCGTGCCGCGCCCAGCCGTGGCGACGAGGCCTCCCCGAGGAAAAAAAAAACCTTGTCTCAGAAAGAAAACCGCCCGGAACCCGAACAAGTCGGCCACCGAACCTTTTCCGAGGTTCACGTGCTCAGTTTTTCCGTGCCGCGCCCAGCCGTGGCGACGAGGCCCCCCCGAGGAAAAAAAAAAAACCGTCTCAAGTCGCCCTCCTCCGATGGTGGTTTTCTTGGGCGCCAGCTCGTACTCCGTGTCCGGCGGCTGGTAGAGCGCGGCGGCGGGCTTCTCCGCGATGGCCCTGCACTTGAGCAGGTCGTCGGCGTACTTCGCCTCGATGGCGGCCATAGAGGCGTTGGCCAGAGCGGGCGTTCCAGGCCACTTGAGAACGATTTTGCCCACCCTGAAGAACAGCTTGGCGCGGCTCATGAGGACGTCCTTCGCCGATCCCCGGGCCTGCTGGATTTTGTAATAAGCGAGGACGTCCTTCAGGAATTTATCAGCCGTTCGCTGGATGACAGAGGAGCCCGCGATCGCGTCAATCGTCTCTTTGCGCATGCTCTGCGCCACCGCTGCGACGCCGCCGGACTGCCTCTTCAGGTTCCCGCACTGCATTGCTGAGAGGTACTGGTAGATCGCCAGGCCGACCTTCACGTGGGGGAACTTCGGGCCCAAGGACGCTATCATTTGAAAATCGCTGGGCCGAACTCTCAATATGGAGCTGGGAACAACGGCGAAATGTACCTGGCCCAGCGCCTCCACCAGGCCAGCAGGAACCCGGATGGCGAAATTGAAGAGCATCATCTTGTCGTTATCGCTGTATGTGTTCTGGCCGAACCTCTTGTCGCAAAGAGAAATGGCCGCCCTGCACCTCTCGCTGGGGTCTCTGATGTGGCTGGTGTTGTCTGCGCAGTCACGTAGCGCGCGCAGGATCTCCATCTCGCTGGTCCCCATGTCCGTCGTCGCGCCCATGTTGTCCTCGCCCACAATCGCCAACAACCCGGTCGTGTCATAGTATAATTCTGGGCGCATGACCTCGCATGCGATGCCCTCCGAGATGTGCTCCTTGAGCTTCACGTCCTGTGGGTTCGCCACGATGGGGTCGTCGGTGCCGTACAGCATCTTGTTGCCCTCGGTGTAGAGCTTGATGGCGTGGGCGAAATGGTTCTTCGTCAGCAGGGCGAACCGCATGTCCGCGGAAAAAGATGGGAGCAGAGGGTCTGATTCACACATGGTCTTATTGAAGGCCCGGAATGCCTCCAATTTATCATCCGGCACCCGCACGACGGTGGCGTCGCGGTAGCGCCGCCTGCTCAGCCCGTCCTTCTTGATGCTTTCGACAACCTCGTGCACGTGAAAGCCGCTCACGCCGAGATTGCTCCTGTTGCAGGGAACGGTTCCCAGCAGCCGACAGTGGATGAACTGCACTTCCCCCGTGCTGTAGGCGACGCGGGCCTGCTCGGCGAGCCCGGCGATGGGCTTGCCCTCCGCGAGCCCGGCGACGGGTTTGCCCTCTGGCCCTGCCCCGCCGCCCGCAGGCGCCCCGGCAGGATCTGGCATTGCGTGGCGCGCGCCGCACAGGAGCGCCAGGAGCAGCCCAAGCATCCGAGAGGTGATCGACTAAACACGAAGCAAACGGGTCCTGAGGGAAACGGGTCCTGTGTCCCCAGGGACTGCCCTCCGGGGCCGTGTTCTAAGCCCGAGCCGTGTTCTAAGCCCGAAGCGTTTTTTGTCGGCCCCGGGTCTCGGGGAGGGCCCCAGGCAACCCGAAAAAAAAATTCTCAAAACCTTTTTGCTTCATGTTGACCCGCCCGCAAGGCTGGCGCAGCGGCTGGCCTGAAGCTCAGCCGAAAAAGGCTACACATGTACTGTTGTTGACGCAGGCCCCACAACCCAGGCATCCGACGTGTGTATGACCCACAACCCAGGCATCCGAAGTGTGTGCGACCCACAACCCAAGCAATGTGGCGACCCTTAGACCACATGCATCCGCTGTGTGTCTGACCCACAACCCAGGCATCCGAAGTGTGTATGACCCACAATCCAGGCATCCGAGACGTCTCATAACCACAACCCAGGCACTTGTGTTTCCATATTTTGTGTTGCTCTTTTTTGTTGTTGTTTGTTATGCCATTCGGCCATTGGGGCTCCTGGGGGGTGGCGCTTGGGACCACACGAGGATCCGCCACTTACGCCACTCCCAGGATGCCCCAGTCCTCGTCGCGGCGCCGACGGGGTGGCGCTCGGGACCACACGAAGATCCGCCACTTGCGCCTCCCTCGGCGCCGCTTTTGGGGATCCTTGGGGGTGGCGCTTGGGACCACACGAGGATCGGCCACTTACACACAACCCAGGCGTCCGAAAAGTGTCATAACCACAACCCAAGCACTTGTGTTTTCATATTTTTGGGGCGCTATTTTGTCGTCGTAGTTATGTCATTAGGTCCCTGACGCACAACCCGGGCATCCGAAATGTCTCTGACACACAACCCAGGCACGGCGGCAAGCTTGAGGTCCGCGACGCACAACCCAGGCATCAGAAATGTCCCTAACACGCCACCCAGGCACGGTGGCGAGCCTGAGGTCCCTAACGCACAACCCAGGCGTCCGAGAAGTGTCATAACCACAACCCAAGCACTTGTGTTTTCATATTTTTTGGGCGCTACTTTGTCGTCATTGTAATGTCATTCGGTCCCTGACGCGCAACCCGGGCATCCGAGATGTCTCTGACACACAACCCAGGCACGGCGGCAAGCCTGAGGTCCGTGACGCAAAACCCAGGCATCCGAAGTGTGTACGACCCACAGCCCAGGCATCCGATAAGTCTCATAACCACAACCCAGGCATTTGTGTTTCCATATTTTGTGTTGCTCTTGTTTTGTTGTTGTTTGTTATGCCTTTAGGCCATTGGGGCTCCTGGGGGGTGGCGCTTGGGACCACACGAGGATCCGCCACTTACGCCACCCCCGGGATGCCCCAGTCCTCGTCGCGAAATGTAGTTCCCTGACGCACAACCCAGGCATCAGAGATGTCCCTAACACGCCACCCAGGCACGGTGGCGAGCCTGAGGTCCCTAACGCACAACCCAGGCGTCCGAGAAGTGTCATAACCACATCCCAAGCACTTGTGTTTTCATATTTTTTGGGCGCTATTTTGTCGTCAGTGTTATGTCATTGGGTCCCTGACGCACAACCCGGGCATCCGAGATGTCTCTGACACACAACCCAAGCACGGCGGCAACCCTGAGGTCCGCGACGCACAACCCAGGCATCCGATAATTCTCATAACCACAACCCAGGCACTTGTGTTTCCATGTGTTTTTGGATATTTGTTGTTGTCATGTGTTATGTCATTAAGTCCCTGACGCACAAAACAGGCATCCGGTATGTCTCTAGCACACAACCCAAGCACGGTGGCGAGCCAGAGGTCCCTAACGCACAACCTTGGCACCCGAGAAGTCTCAGAACCACAACCCAGGCACTTGTGTTTATTTTTTTTGTCATTTGTTATGTCATTAAGTCCCTGACGAACAACCCAGGCATCCGATATGTCTCTGACCCACAACCCAGGCACGGTGTCGACCCTGAGGTCCCTGACGTGCAACCCAGGCATCCGAGATGTCTTTGACCCACAACCGAGGCATGGTGGCGAGCCTGAGATCCCTAACTCGCCACCCAAGCATCCGAAATGCATCCGACCCACAACCCAAGCACGGTGGCGAGCCTGACGCCCCAAACGCGCACCCCAAGCATCCGAGATGTCTCTGGCCCACAACCCAGGCACGCACGGTGGCGAGCCGGATGTCCCTAACGCACAACCCAGACATCCGAGATGTCTCTGACCCACAACCCAGGCGCGGTGGCGAGCCTGTGGTCCCTAACGCACAACCCAGGCATCCGAGAGGTCTCTGTCCGGCAGCCCAGGCACGGTGGCGAGCCCGAGGTCCCTGACGCACAACCCAAGCATCCGAGGTGTCTCTGACCCACAACCCAGGCACGGTGGCGAGCCTGACGACCCTGACACACAACCCAAGCATCCGAGAGGTCTCCGACCCACAACCAAGGCATCTAATGGGACCATGGTCCAAGAGGATCCACGCGTCCGCGGGCAGCCAACCCCCGTCCCCCAGCGCTGTGGGACCACACTTGAATAACGAATGTGGCGGCGGGGCCGCACATGAACAACGAATGCGGCTGGACATGGGTGGAAGAACGGGCCCAAGAGATTTCACGCACAAGAGAAATTACATATGTTAGCGAGCGTGGGCCCAAAGCAGCGTGTTTTTGCAGAGTATGTGTGAATCAACGCACGCTACTTTCTTCCCCGAAGGCCCTGGCCTTCGTCATCGTAGGGAGAAGGGAGAGAACAAGGGATACCGAAGGGGACGACAGGATCGTTCAAAGGTAAACGTTCTGGGGGCAGAAGGAGGAGAGAAGGGAGAGAGAAAGGGGACGGAGGAGACACCGCCGATCATTCAAACGTTAATGCGCTCGCGCACCGCGGAATTCAACCTTGAAGTCGCGCGCCCGGGTCGCCGAAAGTCGACGCGACACAGACCTACCGTGCGCGGGTTGACTGTAGCAGTAATTGTAGTAGTAGTAGTAGTAGTAGTAATAATAATAATAATAATAGTAGCAGGAGCAGTGGCAGTAGTAGAAGTAACAGTAGTAGTACTAGTAGTCGTAACAGTAGTAGTAGTAGTAGTAGTAGTAGTAGTAGTAGTAGTCGTAGTCGTAGTAGTAGTAGTAGTAGTAAGTAGTAGTAGTAGTAGTAGTAGTAGTAGTAGTAGTAGTAGTAGTAGTAGTAGTAGTAGTAGTAGTAGTAGTAGTGTAGTAGTAGCAGTAGTAGTAGTAGTAGTAGTAGTAGTAGTAGTAGTAGTAGTAGTGGTAGTAATAGTAGTAGTAGTAGTAGTAGTCGTAGTAGTCGTAATAGTTGTCGTCGTCGCAGTAGCGGCAATAGTCGCAGTGGCGCGATCACTAGAGGGAGGGGGGGGGAGAAGGAAGGGGGCGGAGGATGGCCCCGGGATGGATTGCGCCCCCCCAAAAAAACACGGTTTCTTTTATATCGTTTTCAGTCTCGCGCGCAGGGCGCCCATGGCGGGGCCCTGCGGGGGGAAGAAAGATAATGAACGAACGAATTCGGGGCCGGGGGGGGAAGAGGACAAGGGAAGATCCTAGTCTGGTTTCTCAACCTCGAGCCTCTCGGCCTCGAGTTCCTCGCGGTAGCTCGCAGCGAACTCGGAGCTCTCGCGCGGGGGGCCTTCTCAGCTTCTCGCGATAGTTCGGGGCCTCGGAAGGCGAGCTCTCCAGGCCCGAGAGGCTCGACGAGCTCGTCTGCTTGGTCGGCGCGGTTATCGGGGTCTCGCCGCAAAGCTGCGATGGCTCGAAGCGCAAATCCTCGAGCCAACGTGGATGCGGAAAGTTGTAAGCTTCTGGCTGTCGTTGGCTCGTCGTCGTTCGCTGCTTTTCGTTGCCTTCTTGCTGTCAGCGTTCTGTCGTTAGCTCGTCGCCGGTAGCCTCTTTGTCGTTCGCTCGTCGTCGCTGCTCGTCTCGTTGCTGTTGTGGCACGTCGTCGCGCTGGTTGCCGGCGCCGCCGTCGTGCTTGCTGTCGCTCGTGCAGTCGTTGGCGGCGCTGTTGCGTTGCTGGTTGTGTTTGCTGTTGTTTGTGTTGTTGCCGCTGTTGCTTGCGCCCGTCGTGCTGCTCGCGTGCGATTTTGTCATTGCTGTCGTCGGTCACGTTGCTCTGGCCCCTCTCTCGTTTTTTTCTCTGGCGTCCTCGAGGCTGGCGGTCACCTCGCTCAGAGCCCCCAGCAGCTCGCCCTCGCTCTGCCCGAAGGCACCTCGCTCAAAGCTCCCAGCGGATCGCGAGGCGCCTCAAAGATGAGTCAGGACTTGGGGCCGAGGAAGGGGGCGAGGCAGAGCTCGGCACCGAGCGCAAGGCGTCGCGCTGCCTCGTCGTCGAGGGCTTGCAAAGCCGGCTGCGCTTCTTCTCGGGCTCGACCTTGCAGGAATCCAGCTTGAGCTTCTCGTCCCCGGGCTTCTTGTCGTCGAAGCACTGGCCCTCGAGCTTGCTGGAGTCCCCCAGCTTCTTGTCCGAGAGTTTTTTCTCGAAGTGCGCGGGTTCTCCTCGAGCCTGCTGTTGTTCTGAAGCTTCTCGTCCTCGAGCTTGCAGGAGTCCAGCTGGGCCTTCTTGTCCTCGAGCTTCTTGTCGTCGAGGCTCTTGTCCTCCGGCTTGCTGGCGTCCTCCTCCAGCGTGGTTGTTGCGTCTCCTCGTGCTGCTCGACGCCGTCCTCGGTCTTCACCTCCTCGAAGTTCTCGGTCTGCGCGCCGTCTGGCGCCCGCTCGTCGCCCTGCGTTTGCTCGACGAGGAACATCGGCGAGACGACGCTCTCGCCGTCTGACCGCTCGGCGAAAGGCCAGGACAACGTGCGGCGACCGTCGCTGTCCGATTCGGCCATCCTCGTTGCCGGAGCGGGAAAGGGGCTTGGTATGCTGGATCTTAAATGGACCACGGAAAGTATTGCGTCCTCAACGGGCTTGACCCGAACAGTGCTTGCACCACAGAGCTTGCGCCCATTGCACCACATAGCTTGCGCCACCTCGGCGA